ACTAGCGAATATTTCAGGAACTTGGCACACTGTGCATTGCTTATTGTGAGAAGTACAGTGCAAAGCTTCGGGCTCTCATAACTACAATAGGAATGATCCGAGTCGAAGTTTTTTACGTTGATTATGGCATTTTTGAATGGGTCGATCGCACTCATTTATATTCAATCATTGACCAGGTCCACTTTTTTTCTGACTTTTTGAAAGCCACTTTCTTTTGCTGTAAAAAAAGATATTGAACTGTTGGTTTGGTCGAAGCCGGGATAAGACATTCAAATTTACCGAAATGAAGTATAAGGGCCTTCATCAAGTTTCCTAAATGAGCAATTGTTGCAGTCGATAATACAAATAACACTGATTAAAGACGTGATGTTAAAGACGTTCGTTTGCGTATTCAGGTCCCAGTAAAGGGTACCAGCTGTGGAGCCGCCGTCTTCGCCAGATTAGCACTTATCCTGTTCTTACCATCATTCATATCATTTAGCCTTTCCAATCTAATTAGGCTCTTTTAGTTGATTCTAGTTTTGTTATAGTTAAATTTACATCCTTCTCGTTAATGAAGCGCGACTTTTTTAGATTTATCGAAAGTAACTCATTCTGTGTCACCGGTTTTGATGCTTTTTGAGCACAGCACGGAGGGCTCCCGGGGCATGCTGTTGATGAAAGTACAAAATATTTGAAAGTATAGTAAAAGTTAAGGCACTTCAAAATTCACTACATAATATGTAAAGGCAACTCTAGGCTGTTCGAGTGGTAATTTCATGCTGGCAGTAACGCTCCTTTTTGCCTCTTTCTAAAGTTTAAACTGTAGCCGGCAGCCCTGTTTTGCCAGTGAGGCTAGTCAATGGATCAGTAGGAAACTGGTTTTACTGCTAGTGAAATTGAAATTGGTTAGTCATCGCGAGCCTGAAATTAGGCGCTGTTTGCAACTAAGTCAGCCCGTGGGCTGTGTCTAAAAAGTTTTGTCTATGTTTAAAAAGTTTTTCAAATCCCACGTTCTGCGAGAAGCAGTGGCACTCGAAAGTAACCTGAATAGTACCACTCCTTTCTGGGAAACATTTGCTAGCAAAATTTTCGGTGGTATTCGGATGCATTTCGGATTCT